AATAATTTGTACAAATCATGGGGTTAGGGGTCAGGCCATAGAGCCACACAAACACCTGCACTGAATCCTACCTACCTTCACAGTTATGAGTCAGGCCACCTACCCTGGTGGCACCCACCTCACATGGAGCAGCAGTCATGTGAAAGGCATAGAAATGGGGGCCATATGTAAATGCTGGCTCTTTTTAAAACATGTGTTGAGCCTTATTGGAATCAGAATTTTAAGATAGAGATGGAGGAAAGCCTTCTAATTATCCTTTCCTATCCCTCCCTCCCTCTCTCTCTCTCTCTTTCCCTTTTTTCCTGCCTTCTCTAAAGACTTCCCTGTTTCCCAAATCTGCTTTCCTGGCATTCACATAATTGAGTAAAAGTCACATGTAGCACACTCCCTATTAAATGACACATTTGACCCTGGGAGGAAGCTTTGTGCTGTTCAAGGTCTCACTAGGCCCTGGGGCAGAAAGATGAACAACCCTGTTTTATTTAATACTACTTTTGTGTGAAAAGCTCTGATTCCCAATTTATATAAATAACCATAAGAAATGAAAGATTAATGTCACTAATAAACTGTGAACAATCAAATAAGTCTAATGTTTAAATGTTACAAGTTCTTACTAAACCTGAAAACTTCTCATAAAATGTTAAATTTTTTATAGAAAAATAAAATATTTCAGAAACAATTGACTAGTAAGACTTTGTTCTTTATTCTTCATTGGTGTCATTGTTCCCTCAATTTGCAAAGTTACTTATAATACTTAAAGGGAAAAAAAATCCTAATTTTAGCTTTAAAGCTATTAAATGGATTAATTAAAACTACCTTATCAAATATTCTGTTAACTACATATGTTAAAGAAAACTCATGCTTGAAAGCTTTATGATGGCTGTTGTGAAATTTATATATGTTTGCTTTGGGTGGATTATATTTGCCATTCTTTGAATGCTTTGGAAAGTTTATTAGATAAATATTATGCTAAATTGAACAATAAGCTTTAGTTGATGGTTGTCAAATTAGAACCTACAACTCCACGTCAGAATCAGTGGCCAAGAAATTGTACTACCTTAAGCACCTACTGTGAAGCTAACTTTAATGAAGCAACTTATTTACTCTTGGTTAATTTTGCCTTCCATACCATGTTTTATCCAGTACTTTAACTGGTCAGTGGTTGCATATGAGTACAGTCAATCCTTACTACTCATAGATCCTATATTTGTAAATTCATCTATTCATGAAGTTTATTTCAACCTCCAAAATCAATTCCTGAAGTGCTTTCGTGGTCATTCGCAGACATGTACAGAGCAGGGGAAAACTCTTGAGTTGCTTGAAGTGTTTTCAGCTGAGGTTGAGCAGGACCACACTACACTCTCTGTCCTTGTTTCCCTTGGAAGCACTGGCTCTGTATTTACTACTTTAGTGTTTGTAGTGACTTTATAGAATATAACTACTATGAATAATGAAAATGAATATTTCAAGCCAGGCCTGGTGGCACATGCCTATAATTCCAGCACTGGGGAAGCTGAGGCAGGACAATCACCACAAGTTCGAGGTCATCCTGGGCTACATAGTGGGTACAAGACCAGCCTGAACTACAAAGAGAGACTTATTCTCAAAAAACAAACAAAAAAACAAAACAGAAACCAGAAAAAATGACTGTTTCAACTAAAGAGTATGGCTTTATGTCAGTCTAGTTCCAAGTTTTTGTTTTGTTTTGTTTTTGGGTACCGGGGATCGAATTTGGGTCCTTGTGCTTGCGCAGCAGGTGGTGAAACCACTGAGCTAAATCCCTGGCCCTAGTTCGGTTTTTTAAATCATTTTGTTCTTACTTGCAGATTGTACCCTGGCACTTTAAATACTGTGATATATAGTACTTGCCTAGTCAGTCAAAATACAAAATGTCCTACACCTCTGATAATGTGGTCTGATGGGCTCTAGGGGCAGTTTGAGTACTAAGAGAGAACTAGATAGAAGAACGTCTTTGGTTTTTAGGAAATACAAGTTTTCAAAGAAGGTGAGAGTTTCATTTAATTATATCTTAGCATTTTAGTTTAAAAAAGATATTTTAAATATAGTCACTGAGAATTTGATTTAAATATTTAAACTATGTTAAAATACACTTTAAATCTATAATCTAGAAAATGTGTGTGTGTAACTAGATTCTTTTAAATATAACTTTACTTGGCTTTCTTGTATCCTTTGTTTAAAAATGGCTTGCGTGGGACTGTCGTGTAACTCTGGGTTCCATCTCCAGCATCATACCAAAAAGGGGGGTGGTGCATACATTTCATATTTTTAGCACTGTATGAAATCTGAAGACAGAACTTCCCAAAAACTTTTCTTGAGTTTTGTGTGCTTAAAAAGTTTTTGTTACTATTCGTTGGTGGTGGTGCTTGTTATTTCCTACTGCTTTGCCCTCTTAAATTTCTTTACTTTATTTTCTTGACTACCTTCATACTACCCAGCTACTTATGCTTAATTTTGAAGCAACATAAAAAGTTTTCTGGCCTGACGTGGTAGTGTACGCCTGTAATCCCAGCACACAGGGGTTCAAGTATACCTTAGTTTACATAGTGAGTTCAAGGCCAGCCTGGACTATGTAGTGAGATCTTGTCTCAAAAAAAAAAAAAAAAAGTTTTCTGAAATTCACAGAGCTGAATGTCACAAGTCCAAAATTTGAGCCCTTTCCTTTCCAGCCTTAGCTCAGAATTTTCCTTTAGCTAAGGAACTCCTCTGTCTCTTACTGTGTTGATGTGAGAGCACACCAAATGCCCTTGAGGTCCACTGTGGGTAGCTCAGGAATCACACAGTTTGATTCATGTCCATAGATACTTTATGTTACAGAGGAGCCATAAAGCTTTTCTCTCCATTCTGCGTCTCATTCATTGAATCCTCTCACCTCTCTCTACTTCAGTTTACCTGGATCTGCTGTCCTGGACAGTGTGGGCTGGGTCAACTGGTGGCTACTGGAGATTGAAATCTATTCCATTTTTTCTTCCTTCCTGGCTATGTGATCTCAGAAACTTTTGTGAGTTGATTTCCTCTCAGAAGTTCATTCAGTTGACCAGATATCCTTGAAAGCTAGTATTTATCAGGCCTTATTATAAGTACCAAGGGGACAGAGATGAAAAGGCACATCATCCTTCCAACATTAATACCAATTTTAATCCAGTAGTGTAGACAAATAATAAGACATTGTAGTGGAGTGTTGAAATTACAGTAAAAGAGATATGCACCCGGTGAGTAAAGTTTGTTGTTCCTTGTCCCACTCCCACTGGTATAATAAATTCTGCTTCAGTAGCTAAATGATTAGATAGAAGAGCAGTTTCATGCTCCTGGCCAGAAAGAATGATTTAGCAGTGGACCGGGTCCAAGTGTGGGAAGGGTAGCAGGGACTGGTGCAAAGACACAGAGGCATGTGGTATGTTCAGAAAACTGCTATTACTGCATATAGGAGGTATATCAGGGGCCACATTTTGATGAGTCCTATGTGTATGCTATGCAAAAGAATTTTCAAAAAACATTATTAAGATAATTCAAATACAAGAAAGTAAAGAATAATAGAATGTATGTCTATCCACTCTTCTCTTGTCTGTCTGTTCCTGCCCAAGCCCTATATCTGTAGTACTGATGTGAAAGTGGCCAGCAGTGACTGGTAAATAACGGGCAAGCAGGAGATAGGAGTTGGCGTCTGGGTGGTGGTATTGCTCTCAAACTGTCCTGCTCTTAATATCAGCTCACCGGACAGGGATAACTTTTACTTTGATTGACAAACAAAGAAATCTACTTTTTGTTTTCACATTTCGTGTATGCACACACATTCTTTTTATACCCTGTAAAGCTCCTTGGAAGTATATGCTGTTGTTCATTCAGGGTCCCCTGCCCCAGTTAATACTGAGCCCTGCATGGAGCATATATGTATTCTTCCCACATGCTTGGTGTATGTTTCCATCTTAGACCTACCCATACATATATTTCATAGCATTTCTTCTGCAAAGCAAGCTATTTTATTCCTTTCCTTTTCTAATAGCATGTTTTTTAAAAAAATACATTTTAAAAAATAGTTATTCAAGCTAGACGTGGTAGCACAGGCCTGTAATCCCAGCAATTGAGAGTCTGAGGCAGGAGGATCGCCACAAGTTCAAGGCCTGCTTGGGCTACATAGTGAGTTCAGGGCCAGTCTGAACTACAAAGGGAGACCCTGTCTCAAAAATCAAAACATACATATATACAGTAGTTCATAGCCAACCATTGAGGCACATGCCTGAGTCTCCAGACTTAGTAGCCTGAGGTATGAGGTAGGAAGATTGCATTTTCAAGGCCAGCCTAGGATACATATCGAAACTACCTCACCAAAAAAACCATAATGTTGCCAGGGATTTAGCTCAGTGATTTTGTCACCTGCTGCGCAAGCACAAGGACCCGAGTTCGATCCCCGGTACCAAAAAAAGAAAAAAGAAAAAAAAATACAGCACTAAGTAAAAACCATAATGTTAAGTGAAATAAGTGAGACTCACAAGTTTAAATATTGCATGCTTTCTTTTATATGAGAAACCCACAATATAAATAAAGAGCAGAATACAGTAAATGACAGATAATAGGAAGTAGGAAGATATTTTTCAGATGGGAAAAGGAACTACAGATGGAGGGAGGCAGGAGGGAAGGAAGAGAAAGGGATTGAAAAATAATTGACAAAATAGAAATAGAGCTTTTGCAAATGAGAAAGGGAATGAGAGTTGGATCAGGGAGGGATGGGAGGGCAAGGGGGCAAAAAAAGAATTAAAATGTATTATGTACATGTACAAACTCACAAAAAATGCAATTATTATGTACTATAAACATGTACTAATAACAGTTTTTAAAATAAAGAAACCCTAAATAACAGTTTATATTTGCTTCAAATTACTCTCTTTTGGGGCCAATAAAATAATTGGCGCTAATACATCTAGAAAATAAGAAGCGTAGGTAATTATATCCTAATGTAACCGAGGCTTTTGTTTCTCTTTTAGGGCCTGCTCTCATTTCTGAGTGCCCCACTCATAGGCGCTCTTGCTGATGTGTGTGGAAGAAAGCCTTTTCTCCTTGGCACAGTTTTCTTCACTTGCTTCCCTATTCCACTGATGAGGATCAGCCCATGGTGAGCAGCTCAGCCCTGAGGTGTTGTACCAGTCTGTTTTGGGTCACATATAAATAGTACAGATTGAACATCCCTTATCCAAAATTTGAAATGTTCCAAAATCCAAAACTTTTGAGCATTGACATAAAAGTCAATGTACACAAACTTTGCTTCATGCACAGAATTATTTAAAATATTGTATCATGTTACCCTCGGGCTGTGTGTATAATGTGTGTGAAACATGAATGAATTTCCTGTTTAGACCTGGGTCCCAATCCCAAGATACATCATTATGTAATAAGTATATGCTTTTACTTGATCTCTTTGGTAATACTGAAAGCCGATTTGGGCAGTTGACATCGTGCCCATTTTATAAATGAGAAAGGAAGACATTACTAAATTAAGACTCAAATAAATTAGTTAGAAGAAATAGAAATAAAATATGTCTTTAAGGGCAGCTTTTGTTGCCTTGTTGTCATTTATAGGAGTTAAATCCTGAGAAAGATCCCGTCCTCACTTGTGTGGCTCTGTTGACTTTGCAAATATATGGTTTTTTCAGCCCATTGGGACACTGAAATGAACATAATTTATATCATAATAGACAAGAGTTTCTTTTGTGTATACTATTAGTATATGCCTACTTAAATTGGAATAGGGATTTGAATTTACGTTTCTTTGAATTTGAGTTCATTTTTTCCCTTCAGTGTGATAAATCTGGAGTGAGTATTTAACATGTAACCAAAGTCCTTTGCCATAGAAGGGTTGAACTTAATAGATGAGCTTAGTAGTTTTTTCTAGAGGCCTGAGAGTGGTGGTTTGGCCAGTATTTCTGTTGCTTACATGCTCTTCCTATGTGAATATGAAGCAATTTATTTTCCCCCCCTTGCTGTGTTGGGGATTGAGCCTACCTTGTGTGTGCGAGGTGAGTGCCTTAGCACTGAACTACATCTTCAGGTTTGTTTTTTTTTTGGTATCGGGGACTGAACTCGGAACCTTGTGCTTGCCAGGCAGGTGGTGGCACCACTGAGCTAAATCCCCAGCCCTACATCTTCAGTTTTAGCTTAGTTTTTTTTTTTCTTTTTGTACCAGGGATCGAACTCAGGACCTTGCACTTGCGAGGCAGGCGGCAGAACCACTGAGTACATCTTCAGTTTTGTTTTGGTTTTTAATGCTATTAGATTTTCTGGTTTTGACTCATGTAAAAATGTTTTAATGTATTACTAGAAATTTCATGTCAACATTTTTCATGTTGTAAATTTGTTGGGTGTCTATAATCTTTGTATTTTCTATTTTTAGATATTGAATTTTTATGTTCAAGAACATACCATGCTTCTCCAGTGAATTAGGGCATTTTGTAATGTCCTTCTGCTAGCTTGCAGTTTCTTCAGTACATTTGTTAATCTTGTACATTGTTGATAAGTTTATCCATATACCTTGTATTCTTTTTGTTTTATCATCAGATGGGCTTTTTCCTTCTAACTGCTTGGTTTTTTAGGTATATTGATGTCATCTGTAAATAATTTTACCTTTTTCCTTCTACTTTTTCCTTCCACTGCTACTGTCTGCCCTTGCTAGTTGTACTGACTAATGAATAATGTTAAATAAAAGTGATAGTTATGAGAGGGCTTCATGTATGTAGAGTGTGTTGTTTCATCCTTAGGCTACCTTTTGTGATGAAAAATACTCATTCCTATTTTATACAGGTATTTTCTTGTTTAAAATCAAGATTAGATGGCTTTTCAGCATGGAGATTATTTGCTTTTTCTCCTTAAGAACTATTAATATAATGAATTGTATTAGTAAATGTTCTGTAACATATTGTTTGCTATTATTTTAAGTAGGTTTTTTTCCGTTAAGTTTATTAGAACATTAGTACATTTTTAGGTATACAATAGTTACATTCATCATTGGGATCTTATACCTTTACATGATGTATCTTGGTTAAGTAGGTTTTTTTAAGCATCTGTGTATATAATAAGATTATTTAAATCTTAATTGTATAAAATTTCTTTTACACTTTCTGCTTTGTCTAGTTTTTGTTCTTTTTTTGCCACTCAGACTGTGTGCCTTCCTCTCTTCCCCCGCCATGGGAGGAGAGCAGTCATCAGTGACAAATGGTAGTTTTGGCAAAGTAACACCAAGTGCTGGCTTCATGCTTTTTGTGTAGATTTTTAAAAATCATTTGTTTTGTATGTCTTTTTCTTAACTGTGGCTAGGAAGGGCCGCGGATTTAGCTCAGTGATTCCTCCGCCTGCCTCAAAAGTGCAAGGACCGGAGTTCGATCCCTGGTACCAAAAAATAAAAGAAGAGTAAAGTGAACTATAGCTAGGAAATATGCAAAGTTTTAATTCTGTTGGTTATCTTTAAAATTATGACTATACCTAAAACTGAACTTTTACTTAAACTCCTTATTTGTCCCTTTTTTCTCTCGTCTTTCCTTCTATTCTTTAAATTTTTTAGCATTATGTACCTCTTTTGAGCAATGACAAAATTAGTATGTTTCTACTTCTTTCTCCCCATCCTGCCTTTTAATTTCTTCTGTCTTTAAGTATACTGTACTTACACATGTGCATTTACTTCCTTCTTTGTTTATAGTCTTTACATGATATATTTGGCTGTGGTCATAAAAGTGAACATACAGTGCCTCTTTCCTGACTAATTAAAATCTTTTTATAGGTGGTATTTTGCAATGATTTCTGTATCTGGAGTCTTCTCAGTTACATTCTCTGTGATATTTGCCTATGTAGCTGATATTACTCAGGAGCATGAACGAAGTACTGCTTATGGATGGGTAAGAAAATGTACTGCTTTTTTTTTTCTTAACTAGAACAATAATTAACATTCTATTAATTACCAGAAGGTAAGATTTAAAATAAGATCATAAATAGAATTAGTAAGGTGTTAGAACCTCAGCAATCTATTGTTAACTCTATTGCTGGTCTGTGTGTCAGACACTTAGGACTTAGTGCAGTACTATAGAGAAAGTACCTTTCATTTATTCGGCAAGTAGGTATTAAATAAATAACCTAAGATATAAGAGATTTTGAAAATACATTATTAGACTAGTAGTTACTCTCAAGTGGTTTGAGGAAAAGATAGCATGTACATGTGTGGATGAGCATGTGTGGGCATGTGTCCTGTGTGTGGACCTCCTTGTACATGTAAATGTGTGTTGTCCTTTCTCCCAAATTCCTCTGTGTTCGAAAATGTTCACAATAAGAGGTGGAAGAAGAAAGATGATCTGGCAGTATTGTGGAGAATAATAGATTGGAGGGTGATGAATGCTAGAAACCCAAATAGTCTCTTGCTTTTCCAGGGTCTTAACTTTTTTTTAAAATCCCAATTCCTGGAATAGAGTTAAGTATCATTCAGTGTTGACTAAATGAATAAGTTCATGAGTCAGTGGTGGACATAGTATAAATAAGTTTTTGCTGTTCCATAAAACAACTTTTTTACTTTGTTGATTTTAGATGTCTCTTTTAACCCCACTTCCCTTCTGACTCCTACCTGGTCTTCAGCCCTGCCTCCTTCCCTTCTCCCATGAGTATCTTCCATGCCCCATCCTAACATGAGGACATCTGTAGAGTGCTGTGTGGGACAGAGGGAAAAGCTAATTGGAAGGCTTCAAGGAAGGCTTTAGAGAAAGCAAGATAGCAACGTGGGCCATAAGAGATGGTGGCTAGAGCAGGGAAGAGTGCCAGAAGTTCATTTATCACACTAGTGTCCTGTACTTTTCTCCTGTGGAGAAAATGCCTGTGGATATGCATTCTCCTGTAATTTTATTAGATTTAAAAAAAAATTTTAACTGATAACATTATAAAAGTTGTACATATAAATGTGAGGTACCATGTAATGTTTTGATGCATGTATGCATTGCATAATATTTAAATAAGGCTAAACATTTTTATTGCCTTAGGTGGTTATACTTTTATCATTTTTTTGATTAAATTTTTATTAGATGTTTTTCTTGCTTTTTTATTGAGAAAACTATTCACAAAGCTGTTGTGCTGATGAAAAGTGCTTTAAGAAAGATTTCTAAGAGGTCTGAGCCACCATAAGTGACTATGACCTAATTACTCTCTCTAGCTCAACTCATCATAAAACCACAAGTAGGATTAATGTCTGCTCATGGAGCGCTGAAGCAAGTCCGTGTACACAGCCAGCTGAGACAGTGCTCTGTCAGTGCTCACAGCCAGGCTCCAGTGACATAGCAAGTAGGCTGTTGCATTTGAATCTGGGCCATGACCTGGGCCAGTGACTACCTTTGACAGTCACCCCTTGCAGCCTATCTTACAGAGATTGGTGAGCTTATTGCCAGTTACTTCCATGATTTGTCCGTCAAATTCTTAGGGGCATTTTGAGATCCATTAAAGAGCAACATATGAAATATGTGCACCTTCCTTCCTGAAATTCGTCTTGTAAATCAAAAAAGTAATCATTCTTTCAGGACCACAGCAATGAATAGTCCCATTAGTAAGTAAACTAACACTCACTGGGGAGTTGTATGGTGAGGTCATCTTTCTGATTTTCCAGAGTCCTTTTGAATGTTAAATGAAAGAGGTATTTAGGGGCCCGGGATTTAGCTCACTGGTTTCACTGCCTGCTGCGCAAGCGCAAGGACCCGAGTTCGATCCCCGCTACCAAAAAAAAAGAAGAGGTATTTAGATTTTTTAAAAGACCACACAGGGTCCTAAGTTTTAATGAAGAGTCCTCACTTTGGCAGCACATATACTGTTTTAAGAAAGATACAGTATTTTGCATAGTCTCATGGAGTCATAGCACCTAAGGACACTGCAGCATTGCTTCCTTTGCACCAGTGTCACTATCCCAGTGCTCCCATAGCACCAGAGAATACAGCACTGCTCCTCTTATCTATTTGCATGTTATTGCAGTTTGCAATGCTGTTATGATTGCTTGACATCAGATAAAGTGGGAAGACCTGAAGGGCAGAAGTTCTGTTATCTTCTTCATCTGGACAGTAGGTACTAGATAAATAATGAAGGAATCCTTGTTCCCCAAATTGGAATTCTCCACATTCCCTTCCTCCTTCCCTACCTCCCCTGTCTCCCCCTCTCTCTCTCTCTCTCACAGTGGATTTGGTTTTTACAGAATTTTTAGTGTAATACCAATCTCATTCATTCATTCGTTCATTCATTTCTGGCCGTACTGGGGACTGAACCCAGGCTTTTGCACCAAGTCTCTCTCTCACACACACCAGGCCCCCAACCCCATACTGGGGATTGAATCCAGTGCCTTTTTGCTTAGCTACATCCCTAGGGTCCCCCACCCCTTTTGTTGTTGTTGTTGGGGCGGGGGAGGGATCTCACTGTGTAGTTCAGGATGGCCTGAAATTTGTGGTGATCTTGCTTCAGTCCCCCAGAGTGCTGGGATTATAGGTATGCACCACTGCCCAGCTGATACAATGTATCTTTATGTTCATCTGGGGGATGACAGATAATGGAAGAATGTCATAATCATAGATAATGATTTGTTTTTCTATAAAGATCTATTAGAAGTTTAAGTAACTTACAGATATGCTTTTGGTACTCAATCTGTTTATAATTTGGAGAGTGCCCACTGAGCTTTTGAGTATTCACACTGCATTCTGCAATGTAGGGATATTGGCATGTAATGTGAAGAGGCTTGGTGGTGTGGCTTCAGGTTGTGCCCGCTGTCTGCTGACTGGTCTCTGTTGGACAGCAGCCATGAGGTGACAGGGTGATGGAATTCACAGCCCTCTAGTCAGAAGGTTTCAACAGATGGTTTCATTTTTTAACAGTTATAGCTTTTTTCTCTTTATAAGAATATCAGGGTCTCCTCCCCACCCCCTTCAGCACTAATAAAATGGTCACCAAATGATAAAATGGTGAAACAGTGCAGTGTTTTTGGAAGATAAATCATTCAAGGTCCTTGAGAAATTCATAGGTTTTGTCATCAGTTCTTCAGAGATTGTTTTTATACCCTTCTCAGCACATTTCCATTTCCCAATTTAAGAAGACCAAAGAGTGAATATTTTATTTATGGAGAAAATTTTCACAATTTTAATTTTAGTATTCTTTTTTATTCCCACAGATCTCCACAATACCTCTAGTCAAAGTTTGTGAACAAATTCTTAAACAGAATTACTTTAATTCTCTTTCATGCTTAAAATTTGTGTGCAACACATTTATTTTGTCTTGTTTAAAGCTGAAGAAGGATGTACCTGTAGACCCTGAGTTAAGAGTGTTTTCCCATAGGTGTGTGCCTGTGGCAGTGGGAACCCAGATAAGAACATGCTTTCTCCACAGATGTTCAGTGGTGGGACCCTGAGTGACAGTGTGCTTTCCCTCAGGTCTCAGCCACCTTTGCAGCTAGTCTGGTCAGCAGCCCAGCCATTGGAGCATACCTTTCTGCCAGTTATGGAGACAGCCTTGTGGTGCTGGTGGCCACAGTGGTGGCTCTTCTGGGCATCTGCTTCATCTTGGTAGCTGTTCCAGAATCTCTGCCGGAGAAAATAAGACCAGTTTCCTGGGGAGCTCAGATTTCTTGGAAACAAGCAGACCCTTTCGCGGTAAATGAAAGTATTGACTTTGTATATAGCCTTAAGGATGCCAGCTGTTGTTGATCTATTTTTTTCCAATAAAAATAGAAAAATATTAATTACAGGTAAGCCACTGGGGTATAGACTTAGTATTAATCCTATCACGTCATAGGGAAATGAGAGAAAATAAATGTCCAGTAATCTCTGATGATAGTTTGGGAAGGAGTTTCTATTCACTTGGCTGTTTTCATCCTCTTTTAAACAAAATATTGCAAGTGGTCATTTGAAGTGAATTCACTTTAATTCAAAAAGAATAAATGCATTTTGTCTAACCAGTCATTTTCTAAGTTGTAAGTTTACATCCACATTGGCCAGAGGCTTTGAACTTACATTGTATAGATTAAATAGATTCTTTGCTTTCTACAATCTTTTTGAAAGGGACCATAGGGGGAGTGTGTCACACTAACAACCATGAAAAGCGCTAAGAAAAATTATTTCTGACAAGCCATCCCTCTCATCCCTTATGTAGCTTGAAATTATTCTTGAAATAAATAAGGGCGGGGGGTGGGGGGGAAGAGAACCAGAAACTTGATTTTTGCTCTTGTCTCTCAAGTTTACCTTTTGGGGAAAATATAATAAGAAAAATAACTCATCGGGAAAACATTTAAGTGTCCCCTAAGGGCATGATCTGGGGGACACTGCCCATCTTTTTTGTGCCACAATGTCAGACAGTAAGAGAGGAGTTTGGGAAGGAAGGAGTGGGCCTACTAGTCACCTGAGGCTTCCCACCTATTTATTGTGCAGGGATCAAGTTACAGGTAGAAACTTCTCTGTGAAGTGGAACTTGCAGTTAGCATTTTAATGAACTAGTCTGTTGTCTGGTATGTGTAGCAAGGTCTCAGAAGACATTAGCTGTTTTTGCTATTATGTAAAGGTTATAGGATGATGACCTAGAAGCTCTGCAGCACTTTCCACTTCTCAATAATTGTGTACCTTTAGGTTTTGTTCAGTAATCGTATGTAAATAAGGATTCTTCAGAAAAGTAGTAGCATTTAAAATATTCTTACTAGTGTAGAGTGTACTTTGTTGCATGCTAGGTTTACAGGAATATGGATTCACTACCATAAGGCAAATAGAATATCAACATTTTGACAAATGGAGTGAATTTATGTGTAAATTCCTATACTGGGTATAAAAACCAGGTGAAAACCCTATACTAGATATGACTTTAAAGAAGCTATATTACGAATCAAAGGCAATAATTTTCTTAAAAGCATTCTGAGGAAATATGTTTTCAGGATTTTTTTTTTTTTGTAGGATGTTAAGGATCTATTTAAGGATATAAGCCAAGTTTGCTAATGAAAATGACCCAAGTGTTTTTCAAAAAGTTATTTAATATTTAAAATGTATATTTCTGAAATGAGGACTTGTAACTTCCACAGAGAGATGGTGATGAATTTAATGTTAAAATTCACTTCCTTTTATAATCCATTCAACATTTGTTATGTCTTAATAAATCAAAATAATGAAGCCAGTGTGTCAGAGCATTGGTGATGCTTTTGTTTCTGCTTATTTCCAGTCATTGAAGAAAGTTGGAAAAGATTCTACTGTCTTACTTATATGTATCACTGTGTTTCTTTCATATCTTCCTGAAGCTGGACAGTATTCAAGTTTTTTTCTGTATCTCAGGCAGGTGAGTAGTGGGTACCTAATAGCTTTTGAACATGAGGAATATCGTTGATTGGGATCTGCTTAAAGATAAGTTGGGGAAACGAAGATAACATGTCAGCTTGTTCTAAAGTATAGGTCTTGATGGAGAATTAGTAAACAGTAACCTTTAATGATGACTTAAAAGACAGCAAGATTCTGGGTGTGGTTGGGCATGCCTTACTAAGGAGAATAAAGCAAGAGGATCGTGTGAGCCCAAGAGTTTGAGACCCTGTCTCAAAAAATAATAACATAAAATATGGTGAGATATGTACCATAGAAAACTTCCCTTGAGAATTGAGAAAAGATTAGCAGAAACAAAGTGAATGAATGAATGAATGAACGAATACATTTATTTATTGGTGCTGGAGATTAAACCCAGGGGATTCATACTGACCTGCATACCTGCCCCTTTTTTATCATTTATTTACAGACAGGGTCTCATAGAGTCATAAAAATTCCCCAGGATGGGCTCAAACTTGAGATCCTCCTTCCTTGGCCTCTCAGACTGCTGAGTATCATATTTTTTGAGGACTTCCATTAAGAGCAAATTTTAAGTTCAGAGCAAATTAAGAGGCAGGTGCACAGAATTCCCTTACAGCCTTCCCCACAGGTACACAGCCTCCTGTACTATCAGAATCCTGCACTGGAGTGGTCCATCTGTTACAGTTAAATGAACCTACATCAACATAACAGCATCACTAAGCCTCTAGTTGACAGTAGGCTTCACTGTTGGCATTGTGCATTCTGTGGGTTTACACAAATGTATAGTGACACGAATTCAGCTTTATAGTATGGTATAGAGTATTCTCATGCCCTGAAAATCCTTTGTGCTCCACTGATTCGACTGTCTACCAACGGCACCCACTAGCAAGCACCGATCTCTTTACAGTTTGTATAGATCTGCTTTTTCCAGACTGTCACAGAGTTGGACTCATACAGTATATAGAATTTTCAGAGTGACCTCTCACTTAGCAATATGCATGTAAGTTTCCTCTGTGTCTTTTCTTGGCTTGATAGTTCATTCTTTTTATGGTCAGTTTCAGCAGTTTGGATGTATCCATTTATTCACTTACCTACTGAAGGAGACCTTGGCTGCTTCCAAGTTTTGGAAACTGTGGATAAAGTTATTGTAAACACTTATATCTGTTAATACTATCCATTAGATTGCACAGAAAGGAAATTTATTCAGATACTCCCTGACCTGGGTGTGATGGTGGCCAGTTTGCTGACCTGGCCTCATGACCCATAGCTCAGGTGCTGCACTGGGCAGCAGCTGTTAGTTCACAAACAACAGTCAATATCTTTTCAGTTCTCTTGATTTTATTTTTTTGAACTTACATCTTGCTGGGTATGGCGGCACACTGTAATCCCAGCACTCTGAGAGGCTGAGGCAGGAGGGTCATGTTTGAGCCCAGAGACCAGTACTGCAAACAAAACAAAAAACTCCCAACAGTTTCTATCCTATTTTGTCCCCCCAAAGAGATCATTGATTTAGATAAAAGAAACACCATCCTTCCTTGTCCAGCTTTTCCTCATGTCTCTGGGCCTGCTCAAACCTGAGCTGCCTTTCAGTTGGTCCAGCCCTGGCTATTACTGAAACTCTATTCTGCTAGGTTTCTTTTTTTGAGAGTGTGAGACTAATATGTTTATGTATTAGTGTCTAAGTAGAGCTTGTTTTTCAAGGATTTCTACTTCTATTTTGCTCATTTTGATGGATGGATGCTAGAGATTTAGAGAAGATAATAACTGGTGTAGAAAATTACATGTGCATTTATAATTAAGTATGCTTTTAATGTAGATAAAATGGCAAAGTCCAAAGAAGAAAGTAAAAAAAAAATCCCTTCAAATAGGTAATAAAAAACTATGACTTTCATTTTTCTAGCTATTTTTCCTATACTATGCTCATGTCACCACCATTGATTACAACAAATCAGAAGTATTCTGTTATTTTGTATTTATGCTCGCTCTAAGTGTAATTTACGTAAACATTTAGTTAAAGTTTTATTTGATCTTTAAAATTATATATTTGATAAAATGTTTATAGAAAGCAAAATAATTTTTCCTTTTTGAAATATTTTAAAAATTAGAAATGGTTGATATTTCAGCGCTACTGTTAAGGCCAGAGGCTTAGAAGTTATTGCCAGCCTACTTCATTGGCTGCTAATTCATTGGAAACCCCATGGGAACTTTTTTGAACATATCTGTCTCTGAGCCATACCTCAGAGAGTCTGATGTAATTGGTATCCTGTGAGTTCCAGCATCTCATTGCTACCCTCCCGATTCTCCCCTTTCGCCTTCTCTGGTGTCCACATGATTTTAATGTATAGTGAGAGTTGATAGCCATTGGTTTTTCTATTGAGCAAATTCTGTATTGACAGCATCAAAAAAGTCAAGTCACATTTTCTTTCATATTCTCCCTATTGCATGTTATCAATCTGTGAGTTGAGGATAGAAAGAAAATATGAATTAGTAGGTAGACATAGAAAATAGTATCCAAAATATTTCACAGTTTAAGTTGTGCCTGCTTATTATGATTTCTTATATCAGATTTAGATACAAATTACTGGTTAAATAGGTTCAGCTTTCAGTACTGTCCTGATTTGTCATTGATTTTATGAACTGTTCTCAATTCTTTTATCTTGTCATTTTAATAGAATATAACATTTCTTACCAGTTATTTCTGTGTTATCTGTTACTTTTTTTCCCCCATTCCTTTAGGTCATAGGTTTTGGATCTGTTAAAATTGCAGCATTCATAGCTATGGTGGGAATTCTGTCTATTGTGGCCCAGGTGAGTGTTATTTCACCCATTCTTTAAAAGTTTTTGTTTTCCTTTTAATCCTTGATAACCACAGATCACAGGAAGCCACATACACATGTATATCCCTCAGGCCCCGCTGTGGCACATCATGCACAACTAGAGGATGACATCAAATCCAGGAAGCTGACAGGGACAGGGCTCGAAGAACTGCTTCTTCTTGATAGAATGTTGATTTCAGATTTAGGGGGAACTTCATACAGTTTTCAGTAGCATAATTTGTTTTAAGTTGTGCTGGGTCAGTTCTTTTATTTGCTTGTAAAACAACCAAGATAGTAGGTAACTTGCTTATAGACATCACAAAATTAACCAGGAGAATGTTTTTATGTTATTTTAATTCTGAAAAGTAAATAGAAATAAATGGCAATAACTGTTCCAACCCTTGCTGTCTTTGGGACCAAAGAAATGTGAATTAGTGAGTATAGTTAAGGTTCTCTAGAGGAACAGAATCAATGTCCTGAAATACATTCATTAAAATATATAGTATGCAGGAGGGATTAGGTCAACTTACAGGATCAAAGGCAGGAGAGTCCACAGTAGCTGTCTGCAGCATCAGAGGTGAGAGAATCCACAGTGGCCCTCTGCATGCTGGAGAGCTGGAAGATCCAGGAGCTGCTTAGCCCACAAAGATGGAAGCCACAGAACAAGAGGAACTAAGATGCAGAACCAGTCCAAGGTTGAAGCTCACTGGAGAGTCGCTGGTATAAGACTGCATTGGAAGGCTGAAGAAACTGAAGACCAATGATGGCAGCAAAGGATGCACTCTCTTAAAAAGACTGGAGCTCTTCAAAATGGCAATACTTTCTTCCTCTTGCCCTTTTTGTATTCCAACCAGGCTACAAGGCTATTAGTTGGTGCCAACCAATCCAATGGGTCTTCCTCCCTCAGCTTTGCTGACCTACAGATCAGTCATCAACAGATACCAGAACTGCTTTACTAATCTGCTAGATATTTCTTACTCTAGTCAAGTTGATACATCACAATTAATGGTCAAAATGAGTTAAATTAGGATATATACAATGAATGAAGGGCATTAAATGTTCCCCATTTGTTAAGAAATACAGTTTCACCACAGCTGGGCATATGACTTTCATGTGAATGCAGTGCTATGTATGGATGCATTCACTATGTCTTTTGGGATTCCTAGACTTTGTTGCCTTGAGATAGCCATTAGGGCAAGCAGAATGCTCTTGTGTGGTTCTCTCCAGAAGAAATGAGGAGGCTGTGAATATTTCTTCCGAATACTAGACTTGACAAGGCTCATGAGAATGCAAAGGCCTTTTTGTTTCAAGTTTTTTTTTTTGAGTATGTTTCTGTTTTGACTGTATTAGTGAATGTAAATTATGTTAAGCTTTCAGTTTGATCATGATTTCTGTTTGCTACATGAACTCCAGTTGATTAGCTATTGGCATCATCTTTTTTGTTTTTGGTACCAGGGAATCGAACTCGGGTCCTTGCCCTTGCACAGCAGGCGGCGAAACCACTGAGCTAAATCCCTGGCCTGGCATCTTTTATTGTATTCATTTTCAGACTATCATAACTTGTATTTAGCAAAATATATATTTGTTAAGGTCAGACTTAAACCAGTCCCAAACAGTTGATAAAACTGTTAACCTCCAGCCAGATCCCATGTGTGTAAATGTTCAGCAGAGGTTTGCTGTTCACGCATAGTTAAATGCTTGGCATTTTTTCAGAAACTGATAAAAGCTGTGATAATGTTTTGGGAGGTGCTGCAGAGTGCTAGGTAGACAGACGTGATGAAAGGGCCCAAGTCCCAGGTTGTCCTGAGAGCCCCTGAAACTCCACTCCCTCAAAAGACACCTCAGTAGTATCAGGCTCTGAGGTCACAGACAGCAGTGTGCCCTCAGAGGTACCTGGTTATCAGTGAGCAGGCTTCACTGTGTGTTTAAGCCTGTGTTCACATAGTTTCTCAGGGTGTCTCTTTTTCTTTGCAGACGGTCTTTCTTAGCATCTTGATGAGATCACTGGGGAATAAGAACACTGTCCTCCTTGGGTTGGGCTTCCAAATGCTGCAGTTGGCATGGTATGGTTTTGGATCTCAAGCCTGGTAAGCTTTACCCATAGATTCTCATGAACTAACCTATGGATATGTGTTAGAGGAGCTCTAGCTAGTTGGGCATGATGAGAAGCAGCAAGTTTGCTGTATTCAGCATTTCAAAAACCATTAGGCTTTAAGTTGGGGAAAGGTGGGTAGAACTGGATAATTCAAGATGATTTGTAAAGATTGCTTTCACCTCAGCAGTCTTTTACTGAATCACTCCTTAATTGAATGTGTGTCCGTTTTTCCTTCCAGTAAAGTTCTATTTTTTTAAGTTCCTTTTTTTTTTTGGTACCGGGGATTGAACTCAGGTCCTTGAACTTGTGAGGCAGGTGGCGGAACCTCTGAGCTAAATCCCTGGCCCCAAAGTTCTATTTTTTAAACACGTTTGTCAATTTTTGGGGACATCACATACATCGAAAGAAAAAACAAGAAAAAATGATTGTGCCAAGCTTTGCTATCATAATTAATTGAGCAATCTTAGGCAATAAAGTAACCTTTATAAAATATACCTTTAAGTTTGATGAACACTAAGATATCTTTCAATGGCATTTATACCCTGAGGGAGTTATGACTAGCACATTAGATTCCCATTAATAGGAAGGAGGGTCATAATAAACTGTGGAATAAAAAGAAAAAGAATCCTGAGTTCCTTGTTCTGTGGCAAGTTTCCCCATGTCCCTAGCTGTCGAGCACCAGAGATCTTATCTCTATTTTAGACACAGAGCTGGTTCTCACTTTGTGTTTGAAAATGGAGGGCATAATTTAGAGAAATTGCAATTACTGTAGTGGTAAGAGATTAGTTGGGGAACAAACACATGGAATTCTGAATTTCCTTTGTTCTGTGTGATGTTTTACCTAAGATTAACTTGGTTTATTCTTCTTGTTCCCTTTTGATTTTGGTCCTGTTTGCTTTGGCTCACTAGCTAATTAACACTCTTGCAGTGTTAGACTTTGTCATTATGAACGGTTCATTTTTTTCAGTAAGGACCATCCCCAAGGAAGTATGGACCAGATGGTTACAAGCCCAGCTGGAGCCGGCCTCACTTTCCTGATACATTTCTTTCTGACTCATACTTGGGCCTCTTCCTTAAGACCAGAACCTAGAACTTAGGGAAGTGGGCTTGTCTGGCTCAGTTGGTAGTGCACTGCTCTGAGGAGAGCTGGCAGACTTCGTAGCTTAAGATCAGTGTGAGAAGCACAAAGAGTGGAAATGGGGTATTTTATACCAAGATGTCCCCTGCAGAACTTCATTGAGCTTACTTCTGCAGATGGTAATAGGGAAAGCAGAGAGAAGGAGAGACTTTGAAAGAAGTAAAATAAAGAAATCTGTTTCCATTACAGCCTGTGAAGAGATCAGTATTAACAGTGTGATGTGTAGCCCTTCAAAGTTAAAGAGAAAGCTATTTTTATTTTATTTTATTTTTTAAAAAAATATGGAACACTTCACAAATTTGAGTGTCATCCTTGCACAGGGGCCATGCTAATCTTCTCTGTATCGTCCCAATTTTAGTATATGTGCTGCCGAAGCAAGCACGAGAAAGCCATTTTTAAAGAGGGAAAAATAGCCGGTGTGGTGTTGTACACCTGTAATCCCAGCACTTGGGAGGCTCAGGCAGGAGAATCATGAGTTTGAGGTCCTCTTGAGCTATATAGCAAGTTCAAGACCAGCTTAAAATACATAGTGTGACCCTGGCTCAAAAAAAAAAAAAAGAAAGGGGGTCAGATAAATGAAACTGAACATGAGAAAACAGAAGGCATTTGTATATTGCTGCTGCATTCTGAACCATGAGCTCCCGAGGCCCGACTGTAGTCTGTCCTGTTGTTGCAGGATGATGTGGGCGGCAGGGACTGTGGCCGCCATGTCCAGCATCACATTCCCAGCGGTCAGTGCCCTCGTCTCTCAGAATGCAGAGCCAGATCAACAAGGTGAGGTCGCGGCCCTCGCTGTTTCCTCCTTCAGCTGAGACCTCCCTGCCAGAAGCCTGAAGCTCTGAGCTCTTCACATCAACACCAGGAGGTGACAGCCTGTGATCCCTGCTCCAGGAGCATGTCTCTTTGCTTTTTGCAGATATTAAAGTTCTGTTTTTTTCTCTGCTTTTATCTTACTCATACTAAAAAAAAAAAAAAAATCAGCAATTTCTATGCTAAGAATTAGAAAATATCTATTTTTCTTTTTCAGTTTTGACTCCTTTTGTCTGTTGCCAGAATTAGCTCGACCCTTCACATTTTAACAGGTGTCTCTTAAATGATAGTTAGCAGTGAGTCATTTATTCACTAACATTACTTTAATTTGAAATAATTCAAAGTCCATGAGCATGATGTAGGAAATGGTTCTTTGAGAGGATAAAGAAAAAATTTGTATGGTTGTTGGTAATTGGGTAGAGTGAAAGGTGAAGTGATGCCTGCTGTGTGGAATGTAGGTGTTGGTTACCCGCCCTTCTTGTGCCTTGGCTTTCCTTGGAGGCAGTTCTACTGCCAGAATTAGTCCTTTTCTTTGTCCATTTCCTGATGGCTCACTTTACTGTGGTCTGGAAGTAGGGAATTTTAAAGGGTATATATATTTTTTAAAGATGTTTTTTAAATGCCTAAGCTCTTTTAAATTATTCAATTAAAAAACTATATTGGAAAAGATAACTTTATTCATTGTACCTATTTTTTCCAGATCAGAAATTAGCCATCTTTTTTATATCCATTTTTGAATAGTGTCATTTTAAGACTGCAGATTCTGTGTGTCATCCCCAGGTAAAGTAACCAAGCACAAAGAACACACCCCTGTGTCTGAAGTATGGTCTTGAACTGTCCTATAGGACTGTCTTCTCATTGATGGCATGGACTGTCTTTGGCTTTATTTTTTTATACATAAAAATTCATGCATAGATGTACAAATATCAGTGTTTTTAAGTCAACATTATAAGGTCAGACCGAGGCATGATTGAGACCACTGAGGCAAAGTCTAAGCAACATGTGATGAGTATATAGCCATCTGGGTGCAGATGGGCCAAGGCCAGAAAGGCTGTTGGCACTGAGAGGAGGGTGTTCATGGTTATTACAGGGAAGTTTAGGTAGGGGAGGGGCACTGGTCGAGGGTGGAAAATTCTAGAGTCCCAAGGTTGATGGGCCTGGAGTTGGTTGATAAATAGGGTGGTGGTGGTGGGAAGAGCAGGGTGGCTGCTGGCTTTGTTATCTCTGCTCCTGTGGATGCAGGTAGCAGGTCTGCTTGGGTGGGGGTCCAACTCAGGGGCCTGTCAAATATGTGGAACTATTTGAATGTGTTGTATTAGGAAAGTGTATTTGACCTTTTTTTAATGCTTTAAATGTATTTGCTTTTTATTCAAAGAGACATACCATCTTTTTCTGTTCATTGTCTGAATTTTAGAAAGCATATTGTTTTTGCTACATACTAAATATATATCCAAATTTTTTAAAGGGAGTCTCTTAGAAATGTATCCTGTCCACACTTATGTATTATCAACAGTAAATGCTAAGTTTAACTAAGGCAGGTTGAATCTATGAAACAGCATCATCCACAGATCAGGACAGCTGGGCTGCCATCTCCTTCTTAGAGTCTCAGGACTGTAATTAATTCTCTGTATCTCATCTTGGGTGTACATCGCTAGGATTTGACTGAACAACAAAGTGTTAAAGACACTGTGGGGTGAAAAGCAGTGTTGGAGGCATTAGTTCTGTCCAGTTACTGGCTTGATTACACCCAAAATCCAAAAGCTTCAAGGAGAGCAGAACCAGCTCCTATGAAATTGATTGTTGGAATGATTATAATGCTGGACTCAAAATCTCAGAGGAGGATAACATAATTTTTCTTCAACAAGATTCAGGTTCCATTTCAGGAAGAAGTGTAGGCATGAAGGCCACTCAAGGCAGGAGGAAGGGGGACAGCACCACTCTTTCCTTCTCGGGCTTTGTCACTTTGGCGGGGAGGATGGCAACCTCTGGGGAGATGGCCTGCATCTCACTGGTGTGGTATCACACCCTTAGTGGAAAGAGAATCCAAGAAATTAAGTGTTTTGAACTAATGATTTTTTGCCCCCTCTCTCCATACATATACTCCCACTGGCTTTGGCTTTCATCCTAGGTTGCCTCCAGTTGTCTTTTATCTTCCCAGTAGAGTACAGTACAGCCCTCCATATCCATACATTCTGCTTCTCTACAGGAGGATAATAGTTATAATTCCAGTAACAAAAGTTTCTAGGTAGATAACCTTTGATTAAGTGGCGTTCTGGTACAAGGGGATGAAAAGTTTCTTTTCTTGTGTTATCTCTGGAATCTGTAGCTTCTACATTCATAACTTCCATGCATTTTCCCAGTGCTAGGTCTTCAATGAAAGAACTATGTGTATATTTTTCTGTTTTAAAGGCATCAATAAATCTCTTCAAGGCTTCTTTGCTTAATACATCTCCACTCATGTAACCCTGCTTTACATAGGGCTTAAATCTCCCAAAATAAATGCGTTCTTCGGGGCTATATATTTTTTTCAGGGCTATATTTTGAAAGAAGCCATCTCAAATTATCTAGTATGACATATGTATCATCTGCTTTCATAAACCAATCTGCATCTTCTAAATAATGATCATGAACATACTAAAAGCTTTGTTTTCCAATATAGTTGATCTCTACCTTCTTTGTTTTTTAATCCCACAGTAGGGAAGTCTTTATTTTCTTCTGAACTCATAAATAACAGTTTATTACAGTGCTGGGCCCATGTAGCTTTGACATGTTTGGCCTTTTTCTCTAGATTTTGAGGGCCCATCATAACCCAACAAAGAATTTTAACTTTCTGGTACAGGTTTTAAGCAATGTCTGTGTTCTCATCTTTATGTTGGCTAGAGTCTGCATTAAAGTTCATTTGTCCTTCTAGATGATTCTGTCCATTATCATCTGAATGTCTTGCATGAGGAACATTATGAAAAATATTAGGCTTGGGCCAGGAATTTAGCTCAGTGGTTCTGGCGCCTGCCTTGGAGGTGCAAGGTCCCAAGTTTGATCCCCAGTACCAAAAAAAAAAAAAAAAAGAATATTAGGCTGGGTGTCACCTTGTTCTCCCAACAAAATACTAAATAGCTGACATCAGCTGCACTCCCTCTCACCCCTGGGGTGGGGTAGTGGGTAGGCAAAGAGGTGAGATGATGTGGAACCAGCAACCTTCACTCCTCTGGGCAGCCGCAGAAGTAGCTCATGACCACTAATTTGACCATTTTTGACTTACAAGAAATACTTGTTTCATATGTTCAGGCTAATTTGTACCAGCCATATTAGAAAGCAAAGATATCTAGAAATCAGCATTTAATTTTTCTGTGCAGGTCTGTGTTGTGACGAATACCCATGGCAGCTGAGGGGACCATCTGCCAGGGGAGAAGGGAGTCCCTCTACTAATGTATAGCCAGGGCCATCAGGCAAAGGGAAGGTTTTTTATTGTAAATGTGCTATTAAATGAGCAGAATGGGAGATCTCAGTTCATACAACAGTGGAAATTGCCAGAAATGGGAAATATTAGCTTTGCAGTTTATGATTGCCCATTTATAGGCAGATGTCTGTGATGTGGGGAATTCAAACCCAAAAAGATTTCAGAAACTGAAATCACACTTCATTTCCTGTAGACCTTAGTTATAGAGAATAAGGACAGCATTAAAAGGACATCATAAAGCAAAGGAATCGTTTGTGTAATGAGTGAAAATGCAATGGTGAAGTCTTCCTGATCCACTTTCCTCAGTGTGCTTTCTACTCAGTCCAGGAGAATCATTATATCATAGTTTGTCAGAGTACTGTGAAGCTCCACATCTTGAGATGCTTTTCTGAGAACACTGACTCCTGTTTCTTTCTTCTGACTTAGGAGTTACCCAGGGAATCATAACTGGAATAAGAGGACTATGTAATGGCCTGGGGCCAGCACTGTATGGCTTCATATTCTACATGTTCCATGTTGAACTGACCGAGTTGGGCCCAGAATTGAATTCTGGAAGTGGTGCCCTACAGGTAATCGGATGATTTCTAGTTTTGTAACAGTGGTTAAGTCCAAGTATAGCAATTCTTCTGACCTTAACTTTGGAAAGCATTATTTGTATATTACTGTTGTATTTTACAGCAGTAAGCTCTTTGTTTATGTAATCTTAGGTCACAATAAGATTACAGATAAACAGTTGATAGGCTTTCATGTTGGGGTAAGCTATTTAGAAGTGGTACTCAAAAAACAGCCCTGATTAGTTGCCTTGTGTTATATTCTAAAGACCAAGCTCTATTAGAGTTAGCCTCACTATGTCATGAAGTTCTGTAATCTGCTTATGAGAAAATGATTCACTTTTAGGTGGTATAGTTCTTTAGGTTGAAAAGACTAACCAAATTATTTGTCTTCTTTTTCACATCCAACAGGGAGCTGTCATCCCAGGCCCACCATTTTTATTTGGAGCATGTATAGTTCTTATGTCTTTTCTGGTTGCCTTATTCATCCCTGAATACCGTAAAGCCAGTGGAGCTCAAAAACACAGCAACAGCATCATCAGTGGTAGCCTGACCAACACCCCAGAACGGGGCAGTGATGAGGACATTGAACCACTGCTGCAAGACAACAGCATCTGAGAGCTTTCCTCCTTTGAGGAGCCTGGGAGTCAGAGTACTGAGCTATAACTTGAAGAAGGGGAGTTCTGCAGATGTCAACTCTCAGAGTCTTCAGGGGAGCCACACCACATGGAGACTTCATGGTGCTGGAGGGGCCAGGTTGATAAGTGATTCCTTCTTCCTTCTACCCCCTATCTCTCTCTCCTCTTGTTCTTTTTTTCCATTCTTTTTCTGTTTGTACATTAGAACAAAGTAGTGTGCAAATAGTGTGCCATTCTCAAGATTATCTGGAATCCAAACTTTGAATCTCAAATACAAAAGGTCGTATCTCTCAGAGAAAATGGCTTTCTGCTGGGCAGGGTGATACATGCCTGTAATCCCAGCATTCAAAGGCTGAGACAAGAGGATCACAAGTTCAAGACTGGCCTGGACTACAAAGCAAGTTCAAGGCCAGCCTGGACTACACAATGAGACCCTGTCTCAAAAGAAAAACAAAACAAAAAAACCGGCTTTCCTTTAATAACTGGAGTAAGAGACAGTGCTCTTTCTACACTCTTTTCACTAGAAAGTGCAGGATTGTAGTGGTACTGCCATCTTGGGCAAGATTTCAGGTAAAGATTCCCTTCTTTCTTCCTTCCTCCTCCTCTGGATGACACCCAAAAATTTTAGCCCACAGGTATTGATGAGTGGCCACTCTTGAGAGTAACCACTCAGTATCAGGGATCCACTGCCTTTGTCCAAAGGTCAAACAAAAAACTATAGTTTTACTCTCCCTTTGTTTTTTTCTATTTCCTATGCTTGTCTCAATAAACAATATTGACTAATGATCATCTTTAGCAGATGAAGGAAATCTTTCTTACAAATTGAAATCATATTAAAATAGCAAATCAGATTACTGCACCTAGCATCCTGGTCAGATCCACAGTGATTTTACAGAGCAAAACAAAACTTCATCTAGCTGGGTGTAATGGTGCACACCTGTAATCCCAGCTACTCGGGAGGCTAAGGCAGGAGTATTGTGAATTCAAGGCCAGCCTGGGCAACACTGCAAGACCACCTGTCTCCAAAAAAAGAAAAAAAAAGTCTTCTAATGGCAACAAAGAAATGGAGGATTAAACTTCTTAGAAAGTTTTTAATAATTTGAACATTCCTGAGAGGCTGAGAGTTAGTTACTGCGCACCAGTGGAGTTTATATCTCAGTTCTCTTATAATATATTATTACTATTTGCTTTTTCCCACATCTCCCAAGTCCTCCTCAGTTTTTCTCATCCATCACACACCTGCCTTAACTGCTATGTAGTATGCATTTGTTTTCAGTTAATCTTTATCGCAATCTCTTTATCAGACTTCTGAATCTCATGGGATATGCACATTAAATTCCTTTATAAAATATGAGGGTTTAGTGAAGTCCAGTTTCACAAGTGTCTTGCTAATTTTTTGAGATGTTTTATGGACAAAGACAACTTTACAGATTTATATGTATTTTGCTGCACAGTAAATGGACCATTAACTAGGGCCTTCCAATTTAACAAAGCACTCCTTTGAAAGTTTTATAGGTATGAAATATATGTAGATATTTGTAAGGGTTTTAATTTTTTTTGATGGAGTGCTGTGTAAATCTTGTATTTATAAATGTAATGAAGGTATTGACAGAAAAAATATATACAACTTTTATAAAGGATTATGTGCTGACTGAATACATTTAAAAGAAAATATATTTTGAAACCTGTTCAGACATGGACAGAAATAACATATCTTTTTACTGCTGTTGGTTTTAGGTTAAGCTTCCTAATGCATAATAAATTTGCAATGGATATATTGACGTCTTTTGTGATTTTTAAAAAAAATTGTGATTGCTCTTTTGGGTTTTCTATGGGTAGCTTTCAACTAAATTAAGTTGTTAATCTTTCAGCTAATGTAAAAGATGTGTGTATTTTCAGTGGAAAAAATCTTAAGTTCATTTAAAATCTTCCATTAAAAACATAACATTTTAAAGCAGGGTCAAGAACACATACATATACACCCATGTCTATAGTAGCATTGTTCCCAATAGGAGGAAACTACCCAGGTGCCCATGGACTGATGAACAGATAAAATGTGGTACTGCATACAATAGAATATTATTCAGCCTTTAAAGTATGGAAATTCTAGTATGTGGTACAGTGTGGATGAACATTGAAGACATTGTGCTAAGTGAAATAAGAAAGGACCAGTATTGTATAATTTCACTCTTGAGGTACTTAGAGTAGTCACATTAAGAGAGATAGAAGGCAGAACAGTGGTTGCCAGAGGCTGGGACTGGGAGCAATAGGAAGTTACTTAATGGCCACAGAGTTTCATTTTGCAGTACAAGAAAGTTCTGGGATTTAGTGGTAGTAATTTGCATAACATGTAAATTTACTTAATACCACTAAGCCATACCCTAAAAATGGTTAAAATGGTAAATATTATGTGTTATTACCACTTTACCCAGTCTAAAATGTAGAACAGTGATTTCCAAATAGTCATAATGTTATATAACCATCTGCACTAATTCCTGCAGTTAGATTCACTGTACTAATATTTTTAAATGACTTATGCATCTCCTGAGGGACAGTTCATCTGTAGTATCTTTCAGCAGTGATTAAAGGATCCTGACTCGGCAGAGGGGAGGGGGATGAAAATAAGTCATCTCAAGAGAATCCCCTGGGTTCCAGACATAGCCCTCTCTGTTTGTGGCAGCAACCCATGCTTGCCTTTGGTAGTCCAGATCAGTAAGGGTACCCAAGAGTAACTTCCTCAGTAACACACAGGAAAATCAAATTGGCAGTGTAGTGGAGTCACCTGGTCACCTTGTGGCAGCATTACCCCCTCACTTTGCCCAGCATGCTCCAAGTTACAGAGATAGGTTAGTAGGTATGAATGAGAAAAGCCATTCTTCTTAGCCCTTGAGTCACAACCTCATACTCTGGCTCCAAGAGAGCATTATAGGCTTTTGTATTTTGAATTTTTGAGTTATTTTTCTTTGCATAGAATGATCAACTTTTTGTATAAAATATTTTATACTTGGGTTTTTGTTTTTTGGTACCGGGGATCGAACTTGGGACACCACCAGAGGTAATTTTCTTATATCACAGCTTGTAAAGTCTTTAAAATAATGTTGTAAATTGGACTATTTTTATCTCTAAGTCAGTAATTTTGGTAATTTAAAAATAAATTTTGGGATTCTGGACTCATTAGGTTGGAACAACTATCTCAATGAACTGAAATGATCTGTTAATGGCAGAGTTGGTGGTACAAACCAGTATGTCTTTTGAGAACTAAAAATTAAGGTTGAAAAAAAGTCTTAAAAATATTTAAGTTTTGAAGGTACAGAAGAGCTACAAATGCAGTGAGAAATTTCAGGAATAAGACTAGAGATAAGACATAGTCTCTAGAATTTGAGATAGTTTATTACTAAGAGTTGTTACCTAATTTTTAAGGCAAACAGGGCAAGAAAGGCTGGTGAGTTGTTTACAAACTCATGGAAATGAAGAGACAAATACTGGAATTTAGGTCCTTTCAAGGCAAAAGGGCCTGATTTCTGCAGGTATCCCCTAAAAAAAGGGTGAAAAAATATACAAGCCCTCCCAGTGCTAATGTCTCATTTCACAACCTCAACACATGATTAGATAAAGGCAATCAGGGAAGGCTACTATCCCCAGCCTGGTCGCCTGTTGAAAACAAAGGCAAATCTTCTCTGTAAGAAGACAACATCTAGACATCCATCACTACAGTTTTAATAGGTAATGTCTGGCAGTTGATTTATAAAATCACCAGATATATGGATGACATTACCAAAATTCAAGTAAAACACCACCAACAGAAACAGGTCAATAGAGCAGCTAGATAAAAAGATTAGCTCTAGAAGAAACCAAAAAATAAAGCAGATGTACAATTTGAACAGATAATATCTAGGAATTTCATATGCAAGCATGAACACACACAAACACAAACCACATATTAAAGAATCACTAGAATCACTGAAACACCAAGCAGGTAAGTACACAGAAAATAATACCTTAACACATCTATTCAAAGCAAAAGCCAAAGAGATACACTTTAAAGGAGACCAAAAAAAAAAAAAAAGGTATTTCAAAGGTAATTATACTGGCAGCTTACTTTTCAGTAGGAGACAGACTATAGTAAATATCTCCAAAATATTAATAATAAGTGCAACTTAGAATTTTATACTAAAAGTATCCTTCAAAAATAAAGCCAAGGCCTGCGGATATAGCTCATGGGTAGTATGTACTTGGCATATATAAGGCCCTGGGTTGATCACCGGTACAAAAAAAAAAGAAAAAAAGGTAGTGACTCTCCAACAAATAAAAGTAGAATGTGTCACCAGTAAACACACAATACAAAAAAAATGATTGGTTATATCAGTTACATACAGAAGGCAAATGTATGACATCAATACTGTAAGTCAAGAAGGGAAAACATGCGGTTAATGTTCTAACTCCTTCCCTTGATCAGAAGTGGTTTGAGTATAAATTTACATTAGCCTTTAACAAGGAAGTATGCATAGTGTATTCATTATCTGACATAGTGCATTTTATGTCAAAAAGCATCACTAGAGACACTTCATAATGATGAAGTTCCAATTAATTAGGAAAACAATACCAATTCTAAATTTGAATGTATGTTAAAAAAGACTCAGAATATGTAAAACAAAAATGAGTTTTAAATAAGAGACAAATTCAGAATTATTCTGCACAATTATGACATTTATTCCAGTATCTGATTAAATACAATTAATTTGTAAAGAATGGAGTGAACAGGAAGAGTACTTTTCCAAACATTGAACTATATTTTGTCTTATATGAATATAAGCTAAAATGGAAGACAACTGTGCCCCATTGTAATCTAGCCTGCAATGAATGTACAGAAAATGTACTAACGGGCTGGGATTTAGCTCAGTGGTTCTGGCGCCTGCTTCGCAAGTGCAAGGTCCCAAGTTCGATTCCTGGTACTAAAAAAAGAAAATGTACTAACAAAACTGAAGGCAAGGAATTCTAGGTTTGGAATCCATTTTTCTTAATTTGTCCCATCTTCAAACAGAAATCATTAAGAAAGTGCAGTTTCTTATGAAAAACAGTTGAGGATCCAAAGTGTTATTACCTAAATCTAGGACCCTGTGTCTAAGTACTGTGATCCTGTGGCTAAGTTCTGTGACCCAAGGGCCAGTTCTGAGGTGAGAAGTAGCTACAAGATTGCTGCTCACATCACTGATCAATGCTGGGATATAGGCAGGAACCCCACTGAGATATCCTGGAACCCAGTGCCACAGCATACACCAGTAAGTGCTAAAAACAATAAATAATGATTTCCCAAAAGAAAAGTAGAGTCCCTAGTGTCAAATTTCACAAAACCTTCCATTTTCTTCTCATTACAGACATAACTAACTTCTGCCTTGATCTCAGAATCGTTAGGGGACTCAATGAAAATTTTCTTACCACTTTTTTTGGGGGGGGGTCAATACCACCAAAGGCATAAAATCAAAGTTTTTGCCAGCAAAGGCATAAAAAACTCAACAGCCCTGACTTTATACAGGTGTTTACTGAAAGAAAAGAGAGATTGTAAGTCATCTCTTTACATTTTACATGTTACCCAGGTTGGTCTCAAATTCCTGGGGTCAGCTGAACCTCCTGGCTCAGGCTCCCGAGTACCCAGGATTGTAGGGATGTACCATATCATCCACCTTTTGCATTATTACTATTATTTTCAGGGCCTATCAATCTGTCAAGTAACCAAGTATGACTATGACACATTGCTTACTAGATACTTTCTCCAAAGGATCACCCCAGATGTATAATGAATATCAGCTATATGATGCAGATATTCATTGTGACTAGACTGAAGGTGGTAGGTGGGCCATGGTTACCTCCTGCTTCTTGTTCAAGCTGTAGCCTCTGATTTCTTTGTATCACCATGCCATGATTGTGGTGTTGGGCACTGTACAATATCAGACTTCTGATTTATACTGAGTTGACTTCAAAGTTGTGGCTTCCAGTTTAAGGCTTTCCCCAAGTCACTGCACTTATAGGGCTTCTGTTTAGTATGGATTTTCTGGTGTTTAATAAGATTTGATCTGATGGTGAAGGCCTTTCCACATTGAGCACAAATATATGGTTTCTCTCCTGTGTGAATTCGATGATGCTCATGGAGCTGTGACTTCTTAATGAAGGCTTTCCCACAGTCACTGCATTCATAGGGTTTCTCTCCGGTATGAATTCTCCTATGTCTATTCAAGTGTGACTTCTGGATGAAGGATTTCCCACATTCGGTACAAATATAAGGTTTCTCTCCTGTGTGAATTCTCTGATGCATAATGAGTGTTGATTTTCTTGCAAAGGCTTTCCCACAGTCACTGCACTCATAATGTCTTTCTCCAGTATGAGACTGCTGATGCATATGGAGGCCTGACTTTCGAGTGAAGGCTTTTCCACAGTCACTACACTTATAGGGTTTCTCTCCAGTGTGAATTTTCTGGTGTGTGAAGAGGTTTGATCTGTCTGTGAATGCCTTTCCGCATTCAGCACATCTATAGGGTTTCTCTCCGGTATGAATCTGCTGATGAACATGGAGTTGTGATTTTTTAGTGAAGGATTTCCCACAGCCACTGCATTCATAGGGTTTCTCTCCAGTATGAATCCTCTCATGTGTAATAAAGTGTGACTTGTGGAAGAAGGCCTTCCCACATTCAGTGCAAACATAGGGTTTTTCTCCTTTGTGGATTCTTTGATGCATACTGAGTGTTGACTTCTGAATGAATGCCTTCCCACAGTCACTGCATTCATAATGCCTCTCGCCACTGTGACACTTCTGATGGATCCTGAGCCGTGACTTCCAGATGAATGATTTTCCACAGTCACTGCATTTGTAGGGTTTCTCTCCAGTGTGAATTTTTTGGTGTTTAATGAGATTTGACCTATCAGTAAAGGCCTTCCCACATTCAGTACATATATAAGGTTTCTCCCCGGTATGAATTTTCTGGTGTATAATGAGATTTGTCTTGTGAGTGAAGACCTTCCCACATTCTGAACAGATGAAGGGATTCTCTCCTGTGTGAATCCGCTGATGCACAAGGAGTTGTGGCTTTTTTATAAAAGATTTCCCACAGTCACTGCATTCATAGGGCTTCTCTCCAGTATGAATTCTTTCATGTGTGATGAAATGCGACTTTCGGATAAAAGCCTTCCCACATTCAGTACATACATAGGGTTTTTCTCCTGTATGAATTTTCTGATGCATACTTAGTGTTGATTTCCTTGTAAAGGCTTTTCCACATTCAGTGCATTCAAAGTGCTTCCCTATGGTAGGAACTTTCTTATGTACAGTGAGTTTTGAATTCTGAGAAAAGTTTTTCCCACATTGACCATATTCATAGTTTTTTTCTCCATTAAGATTTTGCTGGCAACTGAACAGATCAGACTTCTGGATACAGCCTCTTCCATACTCACTGCATTTATAGTAATTCTCTTCATTATGAGTTTTCTGATTATTTGACCTGAGGGAATAATCCTTTCCAAATTCAGTGGGCATAAAGGGTTTCTCTCCAGTAAAGACCCTCTGAGGTACAGTATGCTGGGGCTTCTGAGTGAAGACTGTCTGTTTGCTGCACTTTTGCTGTTCTTCAGCATATATACTCAGACATGAAAGTAGAGATGACTTCTGGGTGAAATCTTTTACAAAGTCAGAAAACAAACATAAATTCTCCTCAGAATGAATTTTTTCACATTGAATAAGATGTTGCTTAGGGCTCAGAAGTTCCTTACACTGATTAGCTTCACATATATTCATTTCTGGATGAGAATTAATAGGAGTAAACATATCACCATATCCAATAATCTTACCAAGATTTTCTGTGGCATCGTTTCTATTATGATGATATAAGCTTGCAATAGGTTTCAAACTTTTTCCAAATGTGCTGCTATGGTGGAATCCTTTTCTTGAAGTAACAAGGTATGTATGTACAGGAACCATTTTTCCTGTGTCCTCACAGTCTAGCTCATTAGCTGGTGTTGCCTTGTTGGTGAAGGCAACATGACTTTGTTTGTTCTGGTTTTCCTCATATCTCCCTTTCCATTTATCATCTTTCCACAATTCTAAGTCTCTTATAAAGAGATGAATTATCTCAGACTGGAAAAACAATTCTTCAGACAATTCCTGTTGTAAAATCTCAAAACCAGTATTTCCACCTATAAAAGAGAAAAGATAAAACTGATAAAAAGAACAATTAATGGAAGATAGAAGGACTGATACAATGAATTGATTCAGGGTAAACAGAGAAAAGGGAGAGGCTTTTATAAATATAAAAATATGATATCTAATATAATATATTAATAAAATTAACAGCATATTTACCTTATGATAAATAATAGCATTTAGATGTACTATTGTAACCTCTATATTAACTCATTTAAATTTTATCACAATCTTTTCCTACTGGTATCAAAGTCTCTACAGATGAGGAAACTGAACTATAAGAGTTTAATAATCACCCAAATCAAATGTTTATTAAGAAGGAAAAGACTCAAATGCAAGCAAATGTAGAAGTGAGGGGAGTGCCAGAAAAAAAGTGGCAAGTCTGTAATCTTAAAGGAAGGTTAATACTGGGGAGAGGGGGTGCTAAAGAACAAATCTGGCCTCACGCATGCTAACCATGCATTCTACCACTATGCTATACCTCCAGGCCCTAAAAGACATATTTCTGAGTCTAGAATCTTATTCTTCATCTGTGAACTCTATCTTCCTGAGTTGTGTCTTATCTCTTAACTACTGTGCCCTAAATACCAACTTATTTATGTTTATAGTGAAACTATTGTGGCCTCAGTCTTCTTGACTCAGCCAAAGGGTAAACTGTATGTCTATAATCCAGCTCTTCATCCCTAGTTTAGGGTACAGATGACATGTATCCAGTAAGAAACAACAGGAGAAAGGGCCACACATCTGAGGCTGAAAGTCATCCATCAAATCTGTCCCTTTTCTGTATAGTATTATCTTGTGGCCAAGTACGTGGCTAACTCATAACACTAGGTTTGTCCAGTCTCATTTGTACATTAGGTAGGACCAAGTAACTTAGTTCTTACCAATCAAATGAGAGTAAAATTTACATTTGCTGTGATAAGCCCAAAGTCTTAAGGAAGTGAGTATAAATCTCTCACAAACCTTTTATTTCCACTGAACATTTCAGACTTGGCAGCAACCAGCTCTATCCAGCCAGCATTGCCCTAGGGCAGGTATCAGAACACTAGATCGCTGGGCCAAAACCCAGGCCTTCAACCCAAAACCTAAGAATGGCTTTTACGTTTTTTTAAGTGGCTGGAAAACAAAAACGTAAGAATAACACTTCACTGAGCCGGGGATTTAGCTCAGTGGTTCCACCGCCTGCCTAGCAAGCTCAAGGACCAGAGTTTGATCCCCAGTACCCCTGCCCCAAAATTATTAAAAATTCAAATTTCAGCATCCTAAAAGGTTTTTATTAGACCGTAGCAACATTCATTCACTGATGTATTGTCTACAGCTGCTCTGTGGTTACAACAGCAAACATGAATAGTTATGACAACAAGCATATGGCCCACAAGCCTAAAATACTTACTGCTGAGGGCTATAGAAAAGGTTTCCCAAGCTCTGGCCTAGGGTGGTGATGGCAGTCTTTAGGGTTTTCAATGATAACAAATAGCAGACCGCGGCATGCGCATACTGGAGGTGATGGTGCTGCAATGACTTCCTAGAAACTCTGTCCCTGAAAGGCCACTGCAGTCACCTGGCAGAACCTGAGCCACTCACCTTGGAGCTGCCGTGCAAGGGGTAAATGTTTACTCTTTAACTCACTGTTCCTTGGTGTCTCTGAGTTACAGGAACATGGCTTTATTCTAGTATTTATTCTTAATATTCTTGCCCCAAATCATACGAACATTCCAAATCCCAGAACACTGTATAAGGCACAGTAGATTCTCAGTGACAATTTGTGTATAAATTCAACTATATTATCTTGTTCCAACAGAGTCTTGAATACTGGCAGCCTGAGCTTATTTTATTACATGAGGACACTGCCTTGTCCTCCAAACATGCTCTTTAACTGCTACACTGCACTTTCACTCGCACATACTGATAACTTTCATTAATCCTGAGGACATTCGACACTTGAGTTTTACACACAGAATCTGACCTTCTGCAACTTTTTATTTCCTTTAGCTTACACACCCCCTGCTATGACTGACAGCTTTTACGTTACTACTAATAACACTCAATACAAAAAGTGCTCGAGTTAAAAATTTATTTGTATATAATTCCTCTGTTGTCACTGTTTTGGTTACTCATTCAATAAAATACAGTCAAAATCCAGGCCAATAAAATGTACATATGCAAGTTGTCTCCTCACTAGTCACTACAGTCTACTGTCTTAATGAATTCAAATATACATGTCAAATTCTATAATTTTCTTAGCTTATGCTTTGAGTTAATTATAATCTTAGTTTACAGAATCTAAATTGTTTTTAATTTATGAAAATGGTAGTGTATGTATCTTACTCAGTTTCTTTTTCTTTTTTTTTCAAACAAGTCCAAAATGTGGTGTGTTGAATTTCTAGTTCACTGCTTCTAAGTGCTAGGATTCCAGGTATGCATCACTGTGGTCAGCTGACCCATACTTCTAAAAAAATGTTTCTATAGAAAATATTTAGTAAAATTAAATTCTTTAATTTATAGGCAGAGGAGGTTGTTTTGCTTTATTTCAGAAGGATTTTAAAATTTTTCTCCTGAGAGCAATTCAGAGGGCCAGAGACGGTAATTAAAAACAGAAGATAACTATATGAAATCTTTAAAATGTCAGCCTTTGTGCATTATACTAAATATTTTTATCTACCACTTAGATTCTGTCAATACCTCACAATCCAAAGATACCATATAAGAGAGCAGCTGCCTCTGGGAAGGATAAAAATGAATATGGGGAGTGGGGATTAAAATGAGAGGGGGACCTCAAACACAATGATGATGACACTGGCTGTAAACTAAGATTATAATTAACTCAATCTCCTGCACTTGAGGTACAAAGGCTTCTTGTGAAATATTTAAATAAATAATTTAGAAAGATCAAGTCAGTGTTGTATTGTACTAGTTAAGTAGGAAGAAGATGTTCATGGTGCTCTCAAAGTCAACAATTAGAGGAGAGGCATGGGGAGATTATAAAATAAACCCATCTTAGCTGAACATGGTGGTAGCATGCCTATAATTCCAGCTACTTGGGAGGCAGAGGCAGGAGGATTGCAAGTCTGAGGTCACACTGGGCAACTCAGTGAGACTGTCTCAAAGTAAAAATTTAAAAATTTTAAAAATGGATAGGGATGTTGCTCAGTGGTAGCACACTCCTTTTTTGGTGTTTTTTCATTACTTAAATTCTTTTATTGGTACATTTTAGGTATACAAAACATTTACATTTCTCATTGGGAACTTGTACCTTTACATGATACATCTTGGCTCTTATTTTTTCCCCATTCCTAGCCCTCCCTTCACCCCCTCCACCCTTCCCTATTTACAAAGACTTTATTTCCATTTTTTCCATTTCTCATCATTTTTCCTTTCCCTTCTTTCCTTTCCCCTGCCCCTCCCACCACCCCTACCCCTTTGGACCTTTTCTTCCTATTTTGCATTATCAATTATTCATTCTAATCATTGGTACATTTTAGGTATACAATATACTGACATTCATCATTGGAAATTTGCACCTTTACATAATCTCTCTTGGTTCTTATTTTTCACCCTTGCCCTGCCCTCCCTTCAATCCCTCCATCCCTCCCTATTTGCAAAGATTTTGTTTCCATTTTTCCATTTTCTCATATCAATTCCATTCCCTTCTTTCCTTTCCCCTACCCCTCCTGTTTTTTGTTTTTTAAAGCTTACCAGTGACCCACACTGATTTTCATTAAGAATTCAGGTCTATGAATATGAAAAGGATCTAAAGCCCTGAGGGAGGTAGAAAGAATAAAAATTTTCTAGGGAAAGTTAAGAAAAAAAATCAAGAAAGCAAGATGATGTAGAGTTGGATATAAAGAACACCCCAGTATAGGCGGTGGGGGACAGTATTTAGATGTCCAAGAGACCAACATTAACTCTATCCAGTTTGAAAGTTCAGACCATAAGCAGAAGAGCCATATTATTGGCA